CAGCCTTGTCTCTGCCATCAAAACAAGGTGCTGAATTTAAATCAGACTGGAGGCAGCCCAAGGGTTTAGGTGCCTGGCTGGCAGTGATTCACTTTCAAAAGTATCAATCTCTTTCTCTATGCCAAAAATAAAACAGTAGGAAGAGCAACGGGCAACTATAGCAGTAAAATGTTTGTATTACCTGCTAGAGAAATTGTGGGTCTTTGGCATTCCAACTATCTAATAAAAAGTAAAAAAACAGCTTAATGGCTTTGTAATGTGAAAATCTACAACAGATGCCATGCAACATCATGGTGAAGCAAATTATTACGCAGGCCCTGCAGGCACTCAGCACTTCTCATTTTAGGAGGAAACAAAACTGAATTTCAAATTACAGTTAAGTTTGGGGAATGCTGTAGAAGGATCACTGGCTTTGGAAGTGGGGTTGAAAAGAATGCAGAAAACAGTATAGTGTTAGAAAATAGAGGGAGACAGCTACAAAAGGCTTTCTCATGCTTTTCTATTGTTTTTCACTTCAAAAAACATTGTGCAGTTGTTAAATATGGGATGGCTCTAACATCAAAACTGCACGCTTATCAGTTGTAGCTTAATTTGGCTAGAGACTGAAATATTATTTTTCCCCCTCTCCCCTCACCAAATTGCAGTATATAATAAAGTAAATAGCTGCAGAAGACAAAGTACAGGCTTGTAAGCCTGTTTCTTTAGCAAAGGGAAACCAGGGCTTTTTCCACGGAATGATCCTCACGTCTGTGACATTCTCTTGCTGATTTGTCTATCCTGGCTATGGAAGCTAAAAACTAGGCACTGCTTCAAATTTCAGGTGTGTGGTAGTTAATTACAGTACACATGATCTTAATAAAGAAGAGTCATTAGTTATAAAATAGATTTGCTCTAGAGTTTCCTGGGTAGGAGATGGAGAGTCCAAGCTGCAGAGTGCTACTGCCAACTGGATGGCTTAGGCTGTGATTTTGTCAATTACTGTTTTTTCTATCTATGTACCTACAAAGCAGAGATGATAAAATTTGTCTGTGTCCTAATTGCCTTGAGCTTTTAGCAAATACTTATGGACTACATGCAGACTTTCAGGAGATGAGTAATTAAATTTCTACATCTTGTTAAATGTGTTTTGTAGAATCTTATCTCTTCCTGCTTTAAACAGCTTCCTCTTTCAGTCTTGAAAGCACTTTCCAGTAGAAATGTTGAAATTTAGAACAGATATTTTTATGCTAATGGGAGCACATTAACCTCAGGTCAAGCTTTGAACCACCTTCCTCACTTCAGCTTACCCTCATGTTTTGTTCCATAACGCCTTTTGACATTTAAGATGAACTGTAGATAGTAAAGATTATAAAACTGCTCCCACTTGTATAAATGGGAGCTTTACCATTGGTTCCTCTGGAAATAGTATCAGGACCTAGAGAGATGCATGTAATGTCTTGTAAGACAGACTAACATGCATTCTACCTGAACAAATATGACTCCGAGTGCTTTTGAAGCTTGTTCTCTGGTGCTCTGTGGAATGCATGCTTCTACTTGATGAGCAGAATATTGAAACTGTACAGTACAACCACCTTCACATTAATTTGCTGCAAACAAAACAGCACCCCTGCAACAGGATTGACCAAAAGGCTCCTAGTCACAGATGCTAAATCAAAACTGAGTGTAAAAGAAAATGCATTAAATCCATGTAAGCACCCAATGCATTCATAACGAGCTGGTGCTGTCACCACAGCAAACTAATGCCAGAAACAGCTTACAGAGGTGGACAGAGCTCTTGTTTTCTAGACTCATTTATTACAATAGATATTACTTTGGTTTTGATTCATATTCTACTTAAACTTTGTTTAAATAGACAGAGGTGGAAAAAAACCCTAAAGTAAGTATAAGACTTTATCAAGATCTTGTTTTTCTGGAGTACTGTATGTAACTCAAATATTCCTGGTTACATGTTAAAACTATCCTTCTCTCAGCTCAGAATTTCCTTTAGTTTGGGGCAGGATTTTTAAAAGGAAAAGTCAATGTAATGTACAGCCTCAGGATTTCATTTATCTGACTTCTGCCCCACCAGGAAGTACACTCTGCAGTACTGCAGTCTTAAAATGCTGGAGTTACGCATGTGGGGGCTTTGTGTGCACAGGCACGAAGTCCTGGGCTCCAGGTGACTTGAAAAATCATCAATCTGTGAGAAGCGGCTCAGCAGTCACCTGGAAGTACATGGTGGGTTGTGGCAGTGTCTGAACTAGCTTGAGATACTGTGAGCTGTAAAACATAAGTTATCAGCACAAGCATCCTCACCTTCAGATTTAGCAACAGCTATGTCAGCTGCTGAATTCAGAAGCATAAGTGAACGGAACACCAATTTACATTTAGTGTAGAGATGGTGTACTGCCCTGTCAGCACCCTGCTAACATCCTCCAAGACACATGAAAGTGGACTAATATCAATGAAGAAAAATGAAGCTGACAAGATTGTAAGTTTTGCCCCAGAGCTGTTTTTCAATAAAACTGGGATATATGTTTATTCTGTTTCATCCTCTTCCTGCAATTTAACCCAAGACAACCAAAATGATGTGCTGTGAAAGTAAATTCTGAGGATCTCCCTCTGACAGGCAACAAGCTTTTGACTTCACAAAATAAGCAGAGGACAAGAATGCACAACCTGTAGCACTGTATTCCGCCTGTCCTCTCACAAGTTGTCCAACTCCATTAACAGAAAATGCGGTCATGTTTGTCTGTTTTATCTTGAATCCACCAGATTACTGTAAAGCAGCTTAAACTTGCTTGTCTTGACCCCTCAAAGGTCAGTTGCCACAGGTCTCGTACCTGGGTCCTATTTCCAGCCAGATACACAAAACAGGCATTTTCAGTACAAAGAAAAAGCAAATAAATGCCTCTGTCCTTGGAGTGGTGACCTTGCTAAATTACATAAAGTATCCTGAGCATCTGTCGCAAGTAGGGCCGTGGCCTTCTCTTATGACAGTATCACACAAACATGCATGAGCTCTGAAGGACTGATCTTGCAAGGACCCGTGCAAGGACATTTCAATGATAAAATGAATAGTTCTTTACTCTGATTATGATGATTAATTCTATTATGTCAGCAGCCTTTGGCACAGCCAGCAACAGCAGCAGATTTCATAGGGGGAAAAAACCTAACTGAAGAGCCAATAACCTTAAAGGGGAATTTTGTGTGGTTAAGTAGTAATATTAATGAATGACACACCAACAGCTGTTATTTTACATATATGCCGAAACACATATATTCCTCAATCCTCTGTAAGACTTTGTACTGATTTATGATTGTATTGTACTTGAAACATCAGCCAAGATAAAAAACTGGCATCGCTGCTGGAACTGAGCAGCCACAGATGGACTCAAACTGTGGAAGCTTTTGGACCCCATGAAGTTGAGCAGAAATTCTATCACAGGTGCCAATTTCACAAACAAGTAATCACTGTTGAACTGGCAGGCATTCTACCTTGCTCATTTTCAGTTTTGTCATGCAAAAGACTAATCAAGATGTCTATCAGGTATGTAATTTAAGCTGGGCAAGTCTTCACTAGTGCATGTAACTGGATGATCCTAGTTTTGATTTTTGAGAGGTATTTGGCTTCAGACAATGTGGTTTCCTCTCCAGTTCTGAAGGCAAGCACTTGACATGCACTGAATGGGTCAAATCCCTCTTTCCAGTTTCTCCCCTCAGCTGCCATAATCAGGTTGTGCTCTTTGTGTGTTTTTTGTCTTGGATGCATTCTAGCTTGTGTCTTTTACACCTTTGGTAGGAGAGGCATTTAGGAGGGATGTATTAAGGCCAGGTTCCTCAAGCATGTTTTGTTAGGAAATGCTCATTTGGCAACCCTAACATCATTAAAAATTATTCTCAGTAGCGTATGCTCTGCCAACACATAACCTTTAGGTGCTAAGAAACAGTAGAGAAAGCACCACAAAAAGCAGGTCATTCAATAATCACTTCAGATATTTGACAGATAACAAGAAATAGCTCTCTTGCACTTAAGCATGGTATTTAGAAAGCTGGAGTAACTTTACCTGGCTGCCCTGGCAACTTGATCTGTCTGTTCTTAAGAGCTGCTATTCTCTCAACATTCCCCTATAGGAGGGAACTAAATACAAGCACTTAGATGTACAGAATGGTAATTAACATGTTGACTTTCAAATCATAATCACTGCAAACACTTCTGCAAGCATCACTTCCTCAGCTCAGATGTGCTGATCACTTGCCTTGTACCAGCACATTTGCACAGAACGGTATCTGAACCTGGTATTTTGAATGTCCCTGTGCTTTTTCACCTTATCAATTCATTGGGGTTGTTCCCTATCATTTTTTTCTATCATGTGCAAGGAAAAGAGTTGAAGGCTAGGCACAGAAGAAACTGGCCTCTTTTTGATCTAATGAGAAATTGTCTTACAGATTTTTGTGACACAGAGGATACACCAACGTTTTTATTACAACAAAATTTTGGATTCTCTGGAGTGCACTTGTAATGATGGCATATAGCCCCACTGATTAATATCTAATACTAAAAATGGAAAAGTAACGTTCAAGTACATGGAGAGCCACATTGATTGCCTTGCCTACATAAACAAGGAAGTTATTTTAATGTTGATTTACGTTTGTATACAACCTGCTTTCAGCTATTCGAGGGAGATCAATATTTATGACAATTCACTCAAGAATGCAGTTGACTTTTATTGTGCAGACCAAAAATAATGCAGCCACCAACCTAGCACTACATTAATGTTAAGAAATCAGTTAACAAAATAATTGTAAAAAATAACTTAATTTCTGATGAGCAAAGGGAAGCAAGTTGCAGAGCTTTCTCATGTTCCTGTACTGATAGGAGAAAATGGCACTGAACCATTATACTCAAGAACAAAGCCACTTCCATTGCTCAGAGGAATAAAAATATTCCTGTTTTCTCCCCCCAGCCCCAAACCCAATATTGGTTTATACAAAAAAAATAATAATAATCTCACTGGAGTTACTGCAGAAGTTCCATGCTCTATAACTTGAATATGCAAGTACCTGATAGAGCTATCCTACTGGCACATACAGAACTCAAGTGAAGCACTGCTTAGGTCCTTTCCGAGTGTTTTTAGCTTGCCAAGTTTTAATCTTCTGGTTCCTCATAATGTGCATACCCACTTGCATAGGTCCTTCCTAAATTCAAATTGCTGAATACGTCTGTGGTCTCAGCATCAGAATCCTTCCCTCCTTCATCTTCATCTTCATCATCATCTTCTGCTTCATATTCATCATATTCATCCTCACGGTCACCTGCATCTCCAGGCTTGCTGGAGGAGCGGTTCTTCCAGTAGGCATCATACCCAGAAGCTCCATCTGCATCTTCACCTCCAGTCTGTCGGCCGAACTTCAAAGAACGCGCTGCAGACAGAGAAAACTCATCATATTCCCAGCCCTCAACAGCAATTTGAGCTAAGCATCTGACATTCCATTTCTGTCCTTTTCCACTATTCGGCAAAGAGCACACAATGTTTGACAGCCTTTTTCTAAATCTGACATTATCAGGTTTAATCCTCACTCTGATAGAACCTTTCTGCTACACACAGTATGCTTCCCTGCAGCCAACTTTGTATGAACACTGTCCCCAGAGCACGACTTGCTTTTAGGATAAAGCTTTGGTACTCTAGCCAAGAAAACCTGTAATTGGATGTGCTTTGCAGACACAATAGGCATCCTGATTGATTCAAGAGTGGTTGAGGTAGGTTGTATGCAGATCATCAAACCACACTTTGAAATTCATTAGCTAGCTTCTTGTAGATGAAGTGAAGGCTTAAGCAGTTATTTTCTGCAATTTTTTCCACAACTAAAATCTCAAACTAACCAAAAGGTTTCACTATTAGGATCAATGGTTAAGAACAAGTGACTTCTCAGTTCTAAACTAAGAAACACAAAGCTTTCCTAACACACAAAGTTTTCCTAACACAGTTTTCCTAACACAAAGTTTTCCTAACACAAACATAGGAAAGCTTTGGAAAACAACTGAAAGTAACTGGACTTTACTCATTGTTCCTATGCAGAAAATTAGTCACCAGTGGTGCTTGTACTACTTATTAACTGGAGACACAGGCTTACTTGACATGCTCAGATCCTTTGTCTGCTGAGTTTCATGGCCACATTTAGGACAGGGAGGCTCTTTTCCTTTTTCCTGCTTGAAAACCTTACTTCGCACATGATCGTCACAAAAGCAAGCCTGTGGGGTGAAAGAAGAGTGAGAAAGCTAAATGTTTTAATCATAAAACCATATTGTTCAGCAAGAAGCAAGCAAAAAAGTGTCTAACAGCAGCAGGGTTTTCTGGTTGGTATTAAAATTTAATGAGCTCTATCTGCAGTGGAACTGGAATCTGTGCACAGAGCAACCATCTCGATAATAAACATAGTTGCACAGCTACCTCGGGAAGAGGCTGGATAAAACTGCTGCTCAACAAGTACAGAAGTAGCACACCCAAGGACGGGATTATAGTGCTGCTCACAAGGAGCCTGGCAAACTTTGGTTTACACTGACAAGTTTAAATAAGATACAGTCAGAGATGTACGCCAGAATATAACTATGCAGTGACCTGAAGGCAAAAGTTAAGAGATAGAAATTTCACATGTTGAGCACCAGAGTGCCAGTGAAGATACCTGGAGAAAGGAGCACTTTGGAAGATTAAATCAATGCCATGGGAGGTTGCAGGGAAAACATATGGAGTGTAAGAAGAGTAAAAGTAGGCAAAGAACCAGCACCTGGAGAAATCTGGGCAATGCTGATGATGAAGCAGGTGGAAATTTTATACAGAATTACTTCTGAGTGTGAAAACCAAAGCCTGGTATCAGCAAATTAATGTCTGCATGTGTAAGACTAGATTAGCTGTGGAGATTGTTTCTACTGGATCCAGGCTGTGGTATTGCTGGCCAGATCATCACTTGACTGTTTAAAAAAACCCAAACTTTTTCACTTATCTTAGACCTACACTAGATCAAAATGAATTCCAAACCCCTGGATTCCGTTTGGGACCAAGGATTTGTTTTGGTTGGTTGGTTTGGTTTTGGGGTTTTTTTTAAGGGTCAAACGTGGTACAGCTCTAGTTTAAACAGAGGCTTGACAAAGTGAAGATCACCTCTCTTGGCATAAGGATGCACAACACTGGCTTGTGGTTAACAGGCAAGCACAGACTTAAAAAAAGCCCTTTTGACCCCCATAAGCCTGTCTCTAGGCTTCAGATACTAATACAAAAGTATAAATATCTTTTAAGAATGTAGAGGAAGATGTCAGAAGGCCTGATGCCAGCCTTGGAGGCTAAGAAAAATAAAGTCTAAAGTCATAGCTACTTGCAACTGTCTTTACCTTACAACGCAGACATGAATGTTGCCCAAGCCTGTTACAGGAAACACCTGTTGGAGAAAATCAATATGTAAAATTCAATACTTAAAATTACAGATCTGCAATGCTTTTAAAACCTTGCAAAAGTATGTAATAACACAGCTGAGGCATTTATTTTTAATTCCCTAATACAACTGCCCTTTGGCAACATGCATCAGTTATTTTAGCACACAGTACCATTCTATTAGAGTTTTTCAAGTCTAAGCCTCATTGCAATAATGTCACTTGACACAAAAAATGGAAGTTCAAGAGGGCAAAAAGTTTAACTATTACTTGAGTTTCTAAACTTTTGAAAACAGGAGTTTTAGAACCAGTCTGATATTAAGTGGTCATGTTGTGTTTCCTTCTCTCATGACATCAAAAGAAGGAGCACTAGCATTTTACAGTCACTTTAAACATGCCATGACAGCCTTTACCACCTTTATCTCATTTAAAGGGGATGTGATAATACTTCAAGCTTGCAAACCTCCAAAGCTCAAACACTTGTGTTCTGTATTTTGTCATGTCATCTGAAAATATACTTTATTGTACACAACTTCAGATGAAAATCTATCTGTTCTTAAAAGAATTGTAGCTGGCACATGAACTACAAAAATCAGGATTGATGCTCAAAATCTTGTATTGAAGCTTCAAATCTGTTCCTTTAGTCCACTAGAGTGAGTAAAGGCAACTACACAGCAACTGGCAGCAACACCAAGCAGGGTGAATTGTAGTTACTACTAGAAAGGCAGGGATACATATTTTATCAGTCACTGTGCAAGTACTTGTTCCCTTCCTCGTTGCCTTACCCCTGCAGCAGCAAAGTTTTTTTAATCTGAAGTAATAAATATAATGAGCTTTTCACATGAGCAGGACAGCCTCAGGATTTAGCACTCTTACGTATTTAAAGATGGAATGGGAATTGCTAATGCATATATATTCATCATTTCTGGAGTATCTGCATTTACAAAAATTCTCGGGTAGTGATGCAAAGTAAGAGTACCTTTGTCACTGCTAGAATGGGATTTAGACTACAAACACATGACTGCATTTAAAGCTCATGTATTCTGTAAAAGATCAGGTTTTACAACCTTGTTACCACACACTGACAAAATTCCTGCCTCTCTACCAAAACTGCACTGTGCCACAAAACGTTGAACAATCTCAAAAAAGCAATTTCTCCATTAAGGGTGTGACATACATCTGTGAATTAAAAGCTTCCAGCAACCACTGAACAAGTATTCATGTAGAATAGCTGATGCTGCTTCAATATTGTTATGCAGGAAGGTATTTTGGCAGAATGCATCAAGGGAAGCTAATCAAGGCTTAGAATATAGCCGGCTGGTGAAAAAAAGGATGGGAGATGAAAAGGAGATGTGAAATTTCAAAACACACAGACTATAACATTGAAATTGACAAATACTCTGAATTGGGAGAAATCAATTAGGACAAGAGATTAGGCAGTTCTGAAGAAAAGAGTCTCATAGATGGCAAGGAGCACATTGAATTTCTGTGATAAGGACTGAAAATGTAACAGTCAAAATACAAGTTTTGGAAAGGACAAGTGCTTGTCTTATGGGATAAACCAAACAGTAGTAAATGGTGGATAGAAAAGAAATACTTCTAGAAAAGATTAATTATTTCAAATATGCATAGTCTTGGTTTGTGTTTGTTTTGGCTTTTGTTTTTTTAGCTTCCCTTGACATTTCCCTCTCAGCCAAAGAGAAGTAGAGGACTAGAATGAGCCATCCTCTTACAAATATGAGTTTCAGTTTTGGCCACAAAATTAACTGAAGTTCAAGAGGACAAAAAGTCTTCAGCTACCTGAAGACTTTACACCTATCAATAAAAGTGGACACATATCAACATTCGATAAATTACTGACACACATGTCCACCATCTACTGGTCAGTGAAGAAACTAATACTGAGCTCATGCTCTGAATGAACACTGTTTTTTCATTCCTTACATGCTCACGCTGTCTCACTGACTAATGATGACTACTTCCTGAGTCACAGCCATCCTCAGGACTTGCTGCTTTTGCCAAATCAACAGATGCTAAAACCTTTCAACAGTATTCAGGCCATCCACAGCCATCGAGGAAATTTTAGCCAAACTAACACAGGTAGTGTTATTTAGGGCAGCTATTTTCCATGAGGAACAGGTATCTAGAAATAGCTCATCATACTGTCAGAGAAGTAGAAGAGAGCTCCTTGTCTGAAGAGCTTTGTGAAGTAAAAAAGCAGCTTCAGCAGTTCCACCATTTTTCTGCAGTCCTGGCCACTGCCAACACTGCAACTTTAGAGACTGCTGGCTCCTGCAACAGCAACTTCCCAGGAAAGGTCTGTAAGAGCCAGGCAGGGAAACAACTACCTCATGGAGTCAACATGGAGGAAGGCCAGAGGCAAAAGCTCTAGTCTAGATGATGGATATCAAAGGCAAGCAGAGAGGAAACAGGCCTCCTCCTCCAGTGGTGGTTACAGTTGTTTGAAAAGGTGATGGAGAGTACTCTTGAGCGCAGAGGAAGAAGCAATTGGAGAGTCTTTTCAGCTGTGGTGAAAGGGACTATGAACAAATAACTTACATTTAAATGTCTCTGCTTCCAGAACTTGGCAGCTGGCTTGATGTTCAAACTGATCATCTTCACAGAGAAAATCATGGCAAAAAGAGCAGGCAAATATTCTCCCTCCTAAAAGATTTATCAAGGCAAAATAATCAGCAGTGGGCACATGCATCAAGTTCTGCTCTGCAAACAAGTTAGGCTGTGGTTCTGACTGAAGCTCTCTCTTCTGTTACAAATATTTTAATAGAAGTCCTATATCAGACACTGCCATCCATTATTATACTGAAAAATACCATGTATCCTACAGTAGGAGACAGCATAAATACAGAGCAAGTATTAATTTTACTTTTCTTCATTTTAATTTGACTATTGCATTAAGTTTTGGTTTTTTAATCAGATCATTCTCTTTTATCCAGTTTCTTTCCCTCCTACCCCCTCACTTCTGATGCACACTTGGAATAAACCCTTCAATGTATTCTACAAATTGAGATGAGTATGGTTTTCTAAGCAATTGGGAATCCAAATACCTATACTAGCATAGAAGAATGGACTGGATGGAAATGGCAGAAAATAGTGTACTGACAATTTGATGCCATGTTCAATTATGTGAAGCACTCTGCTGATAGGACAGTTAATAGTTCAGATTACATAACCACCCCTGAACTGAATACTGTATGTTCCTGAGCAGGTCATGTACATTCCCCACTCAAAAGGTCTATTTTTAAAATGGGAAGAATGCTTTGCTTTGAACAAACATACTGCAAGAACTAATCAGTGAAGTTTAAAAAAGCTATGCTACAAATATAGGTACAATAACTTAAGCAATGGGAGTAGAAAAGTACCATTTAGATTTTCGTAAGTGTGAGCAACCTACCATGGTCCCAGACACTTCTTTCACACTCAATACATTCTGCATCTGCAAGAGGGCAGGTACATGCATGTGTGCTCAGACACTTCCTCCCATGACACACCCAAGCTTCACAGAAATCACAGATTGCACCCTGTAATTACAGAAGGATGTCATCTTGGGACTTACGCAATACCTAGAGGGAAACTCTTTATTCCATAATCCTAAACATATCCAAGTACCAGTTCTCTCAGTGGGTTCATTCCAGTTGAGTGAAACAGTATGAACCACATCTATATTCCTATTGAGACACTCCACAGTTCATCTTGTTTGTTTGATATTCACTTCTGCAGGGTTAAATATGATGTAAAATAACTTCATTTTCCCCTTTTCTGTTTTTCACATTTTCCATCTTAACTCTTATGCATGAAAATTGTGTCCTCCAGCTGAAACCTGAGATCCGTAAATGATAACAATGTTCTGGCAAAAATGCAATTTGATAACATGTCCTGGAAAATGCCACTAGATTCTTAGAGCTGAAATCACAAGCTCTGCAGCGAGCAAAGATCAAATAACTCCCTAGAAATAAGTTACTCTTTTAACTACAAGATCTGCGCATTGACTATCCCTTAACTGTAGCATTTTAGGAAGCCACCTCAGCCCTTATGTAACAAACTATTATGTGCATTACATGCAGACAAAACTAAACCAGTGGTGAATCCAAATTGTTGATGAAAATATTGTAACACTGAACACGTGAGTTTAGGAAATTCAGACTGGGAAGGCTGGCTGTGTTGATGAGAAAAGCTGACTGCAAACTGGATGCAGAAACAGGACTGAGGCTTAGCCCATACAGCATTTAATCCAGAGGCTATGATGTGTCATAACTTGCTTTCCAGAATGCAGTAATAACTTGTCCCTCAAAGAAGGAAAGTTCAAAGGCCAAAAACTATCACTAGGAGCAAAAATGATTTTTTTTTAATTAAACTTCCTTCCCAATGCCATAGAACAGATTTCTCTCTCTGATAATCACGGTCTCTGCATAGGCCCTGCCTCCAACACAGATCTGTTAGCATCCATGACACGTTGGGAGTTTGCAGTTGTACCTAAAAATGCAAGATTTGGGGTTTCGGTAGAAGGGAAAATCACTTTCTGATGTTAAAATGATTAAAAAAAACTTGACATGGTGCATGCTGTCATTCCATAATCTGGTTTATCCTTTTTTTTTTTTTTCCCAGAAAGATTTGCATAGCATAACCTCATACAACAAAAAAGGCTATAATTCTGTATACATACCACCATTGCTAGTCCAGTACTGTACACACCAGCATGTTTTATAACACAGTCTGAAGACTTCATCATGCATTTGGTTTTTCCTGTTTAGAAAAGACAAGGAACCAGAAGAAAACTATACAAAAAGTTTAAAATTAGAATGAATGTTCATACAAGAGCAGTATTTCAACCAAACACCTGCGCTTGATTGTAACTTTAGGTAAAAATAATGCAAACAAATGTCTGCAACCTGCAGTCCACCCTCACATCTGCCTTAGATCAAATTAATTATTGTCTGTTTTCAGCCCAAATCTCTTTCCCCAGTACTGAGATAATAAGGCAATGTGTTGTCTTGCTCTCTGTTTTGAGTCACTGGCAAGAATTTCAAATGCCAAAATATTTGAAATGCTGTCAAACCAAAGAACAAAATTAAGATGAAAGCCAAGCAATGACAATTTTAAAAGTTGCATTTGAAGCTGCTCATTCTGCCTCACCATAAAAACCAGTATGTGCTCTGTGCAAGGTTGAGGCCCTCTGCAAAAAACATATGCACATGATGATTTAATTTCTTACATGTACTTGGATACTTAGGGTTTTGGTGGTGGTGGATGGGTTTGTTTTTTTTCTCTTCTAAAACCGTATTAGCAATTAATTCCTAGACAAAATAACTCCTCTTAAATGCAGGTATCAGTGGGAGAAAAAGCCCGTCTGTATTTAAGTCATTCTGGCACAAGCAAGTAGTTACAGTGACAACTTTCCCTTACTCCTTGCCTCTGACATAAATACCTCTGCCAAAAAGACACACATCCTGCATGCACTTATGCAAGCAAAAAAAATCTTGTACTTGGCCCAGGCTACTGCAGTGGAGCTTTATCGCTGGTTTAAGCTGCCCTGCTGCAGATCCCTTTGATGAATCTGCTACTGCCTGCTTAGAGAAACCACCAAAGGGGTGCTCCCTGCAACCCCAATGAGGAGCTGACAAAGCCAAACTGTACATTGAAAACATCATTAAATTCCAAAACATCATTAAATTCCAGTATGAAGCATCTAAAGAGCTTTGTATTAAATCACACCTCAGATACCAAATGGCACTTGGAGGGTGAGGAAGAACCAGCTGGGGATTGGAGGTGGTGGGGGTATGACTGGGTCTGGAGTACTGCAGCACAGCTACGTTGCTCCCATCCCTCAGGAATTTCTCTAAGAAAGTTAGAGAACTTAGAGAACTGTTTTATAGGAGCTGTCTCCAACGCTTGATTAAGCACCAAACAGCTTTAATAATGGTCTTTGTTTTGGAAAACCCTGGGACTTAATAGAATTCTGTGGTTGTTATTAGGGATGCTTTTCCTCCAGAAACATAGTGCAGATTAAGATAAATTCAACAGACAGGAGTCAACTTCAGATGTATAATATACTGCAAGATAGACAGCATCTTTTTACTGCTGCACTGCATGATGACAGAAGGAAGACTTATGAAGGATGACATACTGCCATTGCACACTAACAGCCTGGCTTCCAGAAATGCTCAGAAACTGCAGGTCCCAACAAAGGCACTGGAAGCTGCAGATGTCAGCAGCACTGACAGTCAAACTACAAAACAGCCAAACTGCTTAATGACAAATTGAAAATCTGCAAGGATGTGTTGAGATGGTATAACAGCAAAATTCACCTCAGAGTATGAAATGATTATCAACATCCCCTGCAAGCAAGCAGCTGTTAAAAAAAAAAAAAAACAGAAGGGTATTTTATCCTGATTTGGAGCAGAGTTCTGTCATTAGGAGTCCTTCTCTTCTGATTTCAAAGCATCACCCCTCTAGCACATAAATAACATGACCAGGATGTTCACAATCCTAAAAGGCAGCAAGACAAATTCTTCCAAAGATCAAATACTCCAGACTTGTGCACCTCCTGGGGTCAGAGGAGCATACACATTAGCACATGATCAAACAAGATCTCTTCTCAAGGAGGAGGTCCACAGCAGATTTAAAAGAACATGCTCCACAAATCACAAAGGTACTTTAAGACAAAGGTACTCTAAGTGCAGAGAATTTAACACCGGGGACTGAGGATAGCATGTTTTCCTTCATTACTTCTACTTACCACATTGTGCACAAATGGGTAGTTTTTGAACTGAGTTGCAGAAGTAGCAAAAAGCTCTATTCTTCTGTCGTCTAGGCATACAGAGGGGGAAAACAAAAAGCAATGTAAGCAAGCATTAGAAAGATATGTAAAATATTTGAAACCAACTAATATTCAACTGCTGGGTTTAGAAAGGGAAAAATACTTACCTTTGGCACTTATCACATTCCTAAAGAAAAGAAATGACACTGGTAATTATTTTTATCCTACATAAAATAAGACCTAGATTCAGAGACCCAGCAGTGACTCTGAATTAAAGTTCTGATTAGGAACCAAACTTTTTATGCAAGTATTATACCTCTGATGCGAATGTAACCTTAATTATAAAGGATGGATGGTTGGAAGAACGACATTCCAGTGGCACTAAATACAATTAATATTTATGACTGGGCTTACATAATTTAAAATCAAGTATTGTAATATAAAATATGTTTGGTTACTTTACCATCGAAGCATTACAAGGATGTTTGGCTAAATCTATGTTGGCTCTTGAAGCCCTTATCTGCTTTTCACGTTCACGGCGGTTTTCAGCTTTCTTACGAGCACCAGTCTTCTTCTTAGGCATTTTTCACGACCTGGGCGGGGGGAAATAGGTTTGTAATGAATGCGCACAAAACTATGTACGGAACTACATGGATACACAAGACAAATTCAGCACTAAAACTGGATCTTGGAGTTCCCATGTTAACTGTGCTTCGTCTCCATTTCCTCTTCTAAAGGTTTCTTTTCAACTGTAGAATAGGGGGCCAGTCCCTTAAGAAGAGTCATGTGATGCACCATGAAGAATCCTGTGATCTAGAAAAGACTTTTCTGTCTTAAAACTTTGTGCTTAACTATTTTTGAAGTGTTTTACCTTTAAAAAAACAAACCCTAACTGCTATGTTTTGTTGATTTGTTTGTGATGGACCTCTGGGTTTGTTTTGCCTTGTCTATTTGTTAAGGACAATATTCAGTTCATTTCCTCTTCTCTCTCTTCTGATGCTCACTAACTACTTCAATCAGTTGAAAAGGATTCTTCAGGTGAGCGAATCCTGGTGTACTGTAAAAATGCAAATTTAACACTTCATGAAGGCTTAGAAAACAAAATGTCATTACATGGATTTAAGAGTTAAGGCAAAGTGATGTCTGTACTGCTTATTTATCATTCTTGCACATCAGCAATAATGGAGATGAGTGTGCATTGATGTATTGCTTTGAAGGCACCACTGTTTCCCAAGAAGGGTTTATGCTAATTTAAATCCATGTAGTTCAGTGCATCCATCCATCTAGTTTTAACATCCCAGGAGGTAACCAGTGCAATACAGTGGTGAGACCATCTGGGAATCAATCAGATCACTGCTCTCCTGTCATCTCCATAATGAACTGTGCAGTACTCACATATGCTTAGTTTACTCTGTTCTTATAATAAATTAGGCAAGTATTATACTGACTTCATGAAATGGCCAACTGGGAGATTAAAGGTGTGGTCTGATGTTAGAGTTTCTCTTGTTAACACAGGCACCCAAGATAGACACCTTCACTTATGCTCCATCTTTATTATCCCCTTATTTCTGCTGATGTAACTGTTGGTGTTACATTCTAAACCATATACAGGTTAAAAACAAAATCAAAAAAACCAAACTGCATGATGGGACAGCTCTGATGAGGAAAGGTTTTGCTGATTCCAGTAGGTCAATGGGTGGCTACTGGGGCCACTGGGCTGAGGAAATGGGAGGTACCTACTACCCAGCCTCATCCCTAACTCTGAGTAGACATGTAGACATGCATGCTGACAGCTGTAAAGAGAACTGTGGCATCAACAGGCAGTGAACTGCAGTAGCAGTTTAAGTTTGGAAGAAAAATTAGTATCTTTGTTCAAAAGGTCTTACAAAATAAACCAAACAATCCTAACTTTTCCACATAAAGAAATATATTGTCCTGGCCAAACACTAAAATTTGGTTTTTATAGAACACATAAATCAGTTTTCTCACCCTGTAGCATTTTGCACTGTGTTTAAATTGTATTAGTGTCATATTTTGTAGTCAGAATCTTATTGCTGAGATGCCTGCTGGCAACTGTCATTATTCTAGAGCGTGACATTTCTGATGCTGGGAGTCCAATATGAGGTTGCACACTAATTTTTAAACTGCTTGAATGCCAAGTTAACAACAGAGTCTAATGGTTAGTATTTATACCTTGACTTCTTCCCATTACCTCATAATTGAAAACAGCAAAATGACAAATTGTTTTCATGAAAAACACTGTCTCAATGACTACTGAGGACACAGATTATGAGAAATCTTTAAGATGGTAGTTTTTAGAAAGTTTGTATTAAGCTAAATAATAAAACTGCAAAGTTGAGTCCTTTGAACAAAGCTATCAAATCAATCCAGGCTTTTGAACACCAGCCAATAAATAACTATCCTATAGATCAATATTCTATCACTCTTTCCCTCTGAGCTTCCATTTAAGATGTTTCTGGTCTTTTCCCTGAGTTCTAAGTTTTTAGGGAAATTACCATCTTTTTATTTTCTGACTAGAACATAATAGTGTTATAATGGCAGAAATTATGATAGCAAAAACTTCGTTTACCTGCAAATTCCTTTCAAATCAGAGTATCCCTCTTGTAAAAGCACTGATCAGTATTTAAAAATGCTTCTGCAGCATATTCTATTTCCTCTTTTGGCAACACTTCTGTCATGAGGCTACAGGATGACTTAAAAATGCATTTAGGCACCACAACACATTACCAAATGCTCATACAGGAATGACTCCATGGAATCTGTCTGTGGTCCAGCTCCCCTGCAGGGTGAACAGGACAGAAAATTGCCTCTCAGGAGGACCAAAAACAAGTTATCAAGGAAATGCTTACAGTGAGCTACTCGAGACCTACCTGCCAGAAAGATTTTGCTTGAACAGTTATTTCTGGTGAAGGCAGAGACTTACAGCCATGCTTCCACCCTTCTTTTCAACCTATGATGCTGCTATGAAAGAGACTGCCCAGGACACAGCAGGTCCAAGCCCCAGAAGGTATGATCCTGCTGCCCTACGGAGCCTGCAAGCTCCTGAACTGGGAACACTTCTGCACAAGGCGGTTTTCTCCATTTTAAGTTTTCTGCTCTAGGACAAATGTTCCAATGAGTGGGTCAGGGCAGCAGCAGGAACAAGTGTGGCTCCCCAGCCTAATGGCTGATGGTGTGGCACAGAAATCACAGGTGTCAGGAGGCTGTGCATAATGTGATCAGTAGTTGAAAGGGAAAGCCCTAAAATGTGTGTCAGGAGGACTGGGACCTCTGCACTGTGTGTTTCATTCTGTAGAAGTTTTGTTTCCTGTTCTTCATGTGCTATTATTTGGCAAGTGAAATACAGACAAAGACAGCAGGGTTCCCACCACAGCTCCAAAGACTGCTCACATATTTTAACTGATGGTTGTGCTGTGTCAAATACATAAACAATGACTGGCATCTAAATTCTGCAGAGGTCGTACCATGTGTATGCCATTTTTCCCCCCTCTTGAAAACTTGTCCTTGACAAAGCACCAAAGACACACACCAAGTTTGCAGCAGACAGGAAAGCAGATTGCACCAGCTGCTTTCTGGATCTCTGTGCTGAGCACGACATTCCCTTGCGTCATATTATCTTATGTGGTATGCTAACCCCCCTGCTGTCACAAATATAATGAACAGCTGTAACAAGCTATTCATCTGGGGATGTGGGGGAACTGTCAGTTTCTCTTGTCATGCAACTCAAACACTAACACCCGAAGATGTTTTCATATTTCAAGATTTCTTGTACTTGACCATCAAATAGCTTCTACTCAATGCATATACATCAAAAGAAGAATCAGGGTAAATTTGCTGGGTCACACCTGATCCCATTCAGAATTCAACAAGATCTGTTTTAACACTCTATACAAGCTTACAACTTTTAAGAAAAAGAAATCCTGCGCTAGCGATATTCTGTAGTTATGTCACTCCAGTTCGTGATTCCCTCTATTAATGAGCTCACGTCCAAGACACCGCGACTTCAGTGCCTTACTCGTCTGTTAGTAACGCAGGGGTGAACCGCGCCTGCAGCCGCAGTGCCTGGGGGCTGCTGCCTTGTGGGTCCGAGGTGCACCGTGCTCCCCGGCCACGTCTCTGACCAATTCGATTCTCCCTTTGGAAACGCACCGGTAACAGCTGTGCAGCGTGAGAGGCCGACGCGCTCTCACCGCCCGACTTAAGGCTGCTCTGTGAAACGCCAACAGCAGACGAGCTTTTCGGAAAGCACACCCTGCGGTACTTCACCTCATTTTTAGTGTTTTACCTACGCCCCCAAACCGTGCCGCCAACACGTTTCCAACCTGGCAGCCGCGCTCCGTGTTTCCCGGCACTGATCTGTGAGGAAGCCAGCCACCGCCTCGCTTGCTCAGGCGGGGAGGCCGCGGCGGGTCGGGGCCGCCAGCCCACTCGCTCCCTCCGTCCCTCCGCGCCCCCACCGTCCCACAGGCGCCGTTGCCTCCGCGCCCACCTGGCTGCAGCGGCTGTGCGGAAGCCGGAAGCGGCTCGGTGCGCTGCGGTGCACTGCCCGCCCGGCCCGGCGCGGCGACGCGGGAAGGTTCCGAGGAGAGCCGCTGGGACCGGGTCTCTGAGGAGCCCGTCCCTCTCCCGCCCTCACCTCAGGGTGTGAGGCGCTGCACGCCCCGCCGGCAGCCGGGGTGGGGGTAGAGGGGCACACAGGGAACTAAGGGGATCTGGGGAGAGCCAGAAGGAGCTGAGGCTGTGTCTGAGGGGGAGTTAGGGAGGGAAACAAGTGGTAAAATAACAAGCCTGCGCTTTTTCCCCACAGAACCGCAGGGTCCGCGGGTTGGGCATCGAATGGTTGGGAACCAAGGGCACGATTTTCATACTGCAGGCAGAGGCGTGAGCAGAGTTTGTGGAGGAGACATCAAGTAAATATATAGATACCGAGGCCAGCACTCTAAGCAGGAGTAGTTAGCACCCGCATCTTTGTGTACTGCTGAGCACCTGGTGCACTTGAATCTTATTGGATTACCAAAAAAAGCCCAGTTATCTCCACATGCATGTCTGTGTCCTGAAGAGGAAAAAACCAAACCAAACAACAACAAAACCCCACACTTTTTTTTAGTGTTAATTTGGGGCTCCTAACCAACATGATCTTTCTCTTCTCTTGGTTTTACTGCGGTTGGGAAATGATCTAAAAAGTTTTTATAAGCTGTTTGCATGGATGTTACTGCTGGTTGCTCCATCCTCAAATCTGGTTTGCTTCCATGGCGATCGCCCCTCAACTTTTACCTGACAGAAACCAAATTTAGGGCATAGTAATTGCAACAGTTAGTTGCGATCATAATTGATTAGGGCCGGCACCTGAAAAGTTATCTATGAACTCTTTCGTCAATAGCTTCAAAATGAGGTATTTTTTAACCTTAATGGTAAGAATACAATGTAGCTTGAAAAGGGAAATAATACCTCTACCATTAAAAAAACCCTTCAAATCAGCTCTGTCTCGCCTATGCAAGTCCTGCGTTGTCACAGACCGGCTTGCCTTTCGGGAGAGTTCAGCCTGTTCCTCAGCAATTCCTGCTCATTTCCCAGCTCAGCCACCTGGAGGTCTGTAACCTGGCGATGCTTCCTTGCGTTCTGCGAGAGCTGTGAGCTCTGGAACTCGGTTTGGTTGGCACTATTCACAGGTACTACACGGGGTGTGAAAGGGTGTGAAGTATGGGATGAAGGCAGCTGTATGTTCTTGCTGCACCCTTTTGTTGAGTGCTTGCTTCATTCCTCATAACTGGCATACCACTCAAATGAAAATATAAGGATGTCTTTGTTTCATTTTAACACCAAAAGTTCTTCGTACAAGTGTATTTATTGTGCATATTGCCTAGAAAACCCTTTTGAAAATCATTAAATGATGTAGCGTACAGCTATTTTATGAAGATCAGTTCAAGGATCACAGAGCAGTTACATTCCAGTGTATTTCATAATCTTATGCTTGGGAAGCATTTAGCATTTGATACATGTTTCACATAAATAACTCCTAGGGTACTGTTCTATTTCTTGTGAGCTTTGATCATCCCTTCACTCAGGTGGAGCTGTTGCATTGTTTCAGATTTTACTTGGTCATGAACTTCCTACTGGAAGTTGGCTGCTAGTTATGAAATGTGATTTTGGCTTCCATTGCCTTTTCCAGGAAGACTCTTAACTTTTGTGAGGCCAGGGTTGCATCTCCCACAACAAATTGATTCCTTGTTATGCTTTTCCTTCTAGATGTAATCTTCACACCAGGTTAGTGGAACACACAGAAAGCAGCATTATTGTTTAAGACAAAAATTCATGATGATCACATAACCGGACGTTTCTTCTTTGTAAGAAAGTGTGTGGAGAAGTCATTTTCAACTCTTGTCAGTAGCCGTGGCTATGTGCTACTTAACTAACAACCTAAGTAGAAAATAAGGTCTTTTGGAAGACCTTAGAGCTTTTTTGTGTCATTTTCCAAATGAATGCCATTAATCATTATTATTCTTTTATTCTGATTGTGACCATTGTGGTCTGTTTTAGGCAGCCACGAATGCAAGAACACAATGAGAATAAATTACATAGCATTGGAAGAAAATGCAGACAGAAAAGGAGATACGTGGACACTAACATTTTCATCTTGGTCTCACTTAAATGGCTTTTTAAGCAGGTGTTTTGTCTTGCGAAACTGTATCTGCCTCGATTATGTTCCACAAACCACCCTCTAGATGGCAGGGGTTACTCACTTCACTCATGAACAGCAAAGTACCTTGTTTTCAGAATTGATAAAGTAGTCTAGGGCTCTAATACAAGTGAATAAGGAAAAAATTAGATGAGAATAACCAATTTAGAGCTTACAAAATTTCCATTAGCAATTCTGGACTAGTCTCTGGGGAACTGTTGCAGACTATTGTTGTTTCCAAGGCACATGCAGAAATTAGCAAGAGTCACCCTTATTTTTAAAGGTGTTTCAGTGTAAGAGAAGCCATGGGAGGACAGTGTGTGTGTTTCTGAACTATAATCGTTCCATATTACCTTACAGAGAACCAGAACTGTCATGTTTTTGCTTAATGGCCAGTGTCTAGCTGAGAAAACAGGACAGGACTCTGAGGGCCTCCCTATGTTGCCTAACAAAAGTATTTGTCTAGTCAAGGGCTTGCATGACAGCACAAGTAACGGTGACTCTCTTAACCCTAAGCTATGCCACCAGCAGAGTAAAACCTGTATACTAGACAGAACTAGCAGTGAAAGTCACTCTTTTAAATGAAATAATGCAATGGCAGCACAGCTGTCTTGGTTGGTATTCACACATTAAAGGCATACTCTGCAGCGTTGTTGTCTTACTCTCCTACACCATCATGCATCTCATAGTTAGTTTCAACTATGCAAAGGGCTACAGAATGCTAATAAATCAGAAACCCTCCAAAATTCATTGCTATCCAGGGTGCAGAACAATGACATTTTGGGCAATCTCTACCTCGCTCCCTTTTTCGTTTATGAAAAAGGCAGGCAGACCAGTAGCACTGTGGATTGCATACTGATGGCTGGTCAGATACAGATTTTTAAGGCAGTAAATTCTTAAACATTTTAAACAGGAATAATTCAGGGAAAAGAAGTGCTGGGAACAGTTGTCTGAGGGAAGGTGGGGGTTGTTTTATTCCAGTGACAAAGCTGAAAAGGACCGTTGCAGCGCAGTGTACCAGCTTGTGTGGACACTAACCATCTTCAGAACTGGCTACTCAGTCCTTCATCTGCTCATCTCATAGAAATTATTCCTTTCCAGTGAGGGCATGTTTCAGTGATGGACACTTATTTATTCCTTAAGCTAATCAAATAATAACAAAGGATTCATGCCATCTTGCTTGCATTATTGAAAAGTATTGAGGTCAGAAAGGAAAATCAGGATATTAAGTTTGTGCACAGCCTCTATCAGAATGGCAATATTCTGGGAGAGATAGGACCTTCATATGCAGTGATGCTGGACTGTGCTGGAGGACATTGAAACATTTTTACTGTACATATCACAGCCTTTTGCTGTAATAGCTCAGTCCCTTTAAAGATACAAGAAAGCGTGCTAACTATCAACTTGAAATAAATACTGACCTGACTTCTTGTAATTTACTTTTAATTTAATACACTGCGATTTCTTTTTCTCTAAGTAATATGCTTGTTGTGATCTAATTAAGCCCCTACCTATCACTGTAATTATCTTCATTATTGCAGTGTCTCCTCACAGCACTCAATATGTTTGCCTCCCTGGGGGTTGCATTGTAAAATGGGTGCAGCATATACCTTTCTAAGTGACCTTTGAAACAGCATACATCAAATTTAATTTGTTTTTAAATCCTGGCCTTGCAGCAACTGACCTTAAAAGTCATGTCAATATTTGTTTGATGTAGGATAATTTTGTCTGTAGACATTTATCCTTGCTGATTTAACCACATAAAGAAAAGGGAAATAAAGAAAAGAACTTGAGGCAAAAATCTTTACCGATGTCTACTGAATTGGCATGTTCAAATATAGTATTTTAAAATAGGCCTTCTTGAATTAGGTGTTGGAAATGTTTGTGTGTGTGCTTTCTTCATGCTATTATAACTGATGCTTACAATTGTTGATCTTAGCCCTGGATAATTATTCCCCAAGAAATTTCTGAAATGTTATTTTGTCTGGTCAATGTCTGTGAATGTATCAAAAGGGAAAATAAAAAAAGAAAGATATAAAAGAAAAAGAAAGAATTTGCTGTTAAGTGATTAGAGTCCTGATTCAGGAGCCCACTCAATTGGTAACTTATTTATTAAAATCTATTATTCTTTCCTATGATATTCAAGTTGTATATTTTCACGTTTCTTCCATGGCTTCAACGAAGAGCTGAACAGCGTTTTAGCATGGTAGTTTGGTGGGGCTTTTTTTTGTTTTGGTTTTATTTTAAGATGGAAGACATGTAGAAAAGCTAATGCTGGGATTTCTGTAATGCATTTAACATTGTATTGTATGTTAATTTTCACACATTAATTAAGATTGCTGAGGTGAGGGGGTAGTGCAAGACTAATCAGATACTCATTTTCTAACAAAAGGGGAAAGCAATAAATATTTGTGATGGAAAAAGAACTTGCTAGCTGGTAGCTAGTTGTTAGTATTGTTTTTCCATGATGAGATTGTAGTGTCGTAAATTATCTTGTTTCTCTTTCCTCTGACCCCACAAAAAAGCTGGCACATGGTGATAAATTTGCTGTGTATGTGACCCTGGGAGGCTTTGTGTGTGAAGAAAAGGAGGGAGACATGTGACAGAAACAGAGGCACCTGTGTGACAGAAAAAGTTAAAAAAACACCAAAATCAAGGTCAGACAGTGGATGACTGATGATAAGACTTTCTCTCACAGTGCTGGAGGCTTGTCAAGTCAAAGTGACAGAGGAGAATGAAAAATGTGAATGCTTTAATTGGTCACAGGATATG